TCTCCCCCTCCCCTTCCTCCCTCCTCTCCACCTCTCTCCCTCCCCTCCTCCTCGCACCTGAAGCTCTGCTGCTGCCGTTCCTCGCTGCTCCAACTCCTTGCTCAGCTGCGAGGAGTCAGAGGCGGACTCGGTTGCTCCCTCCTCACCTCCTCCATCTTCTTCTGCATGCTCTCAGCTGAGCTGGTGGCGGAGGCCACCTGCAGCTCCAGCTCCTCCTTCTTGGAGCTGAGGGCCTCGTGGGACTCCGAGAGGGCAGAGAACTTCAGCGACAACGTCTTCGCCTCCTCCCTCGAGGAGTTCCGCTCCTCCTCCAGCCTCCTGCCCTCGGCTCGCGCTGCCTCTAGCAGCGCCTCTGCTTCCTCCAGCTTCTTCCTGTCCTCTTCCTCCCTCTGCTCCACAAGGGTGAGGAGAAAGAGGCAAGAGCTCGTCGCCTCCTCTCACCGCCATCATCCGCTGCTCGCTCTCTTCGATGGCGTCCAGGTGGGTCTGCGTGACCTTCTGCAGCTCGTCGCGGAGATGCTCGAACCAGCGGCTGAGGAGGAAAGCGGATGAGAGGAGGAGACAGACGCGGAAGACAGGAGCAGGACAGACGAGGAGGAGCGAGAAGGAGGAGAGAGGTAGAGGAGAGAGGAGGAGAGAGGAGAGGAGAGGAGCAGGGGAGTGAGGATAGGAGGAGGCGCAGGGGAGCAGAGGAAGAGAGAGGTAAGGAGACATTCATTTGAAAGAAGGAAAAGATCAAGAGGGACAGAGTAGGGGATGTGATGAGGAATGAAGAGGAAAGAGGAGGTGGAGAAGTGATGAGGAATGAAGAGGAAGAGGAGGAGGAGGAGGAGGAGGAGGAGGAGAGGAGGAGGAGGAGGAGGAAGGGACAGGGATGAAATGTTTACCCGTCGTTCTCGTTGAGCTCCTTTCTCAGGACTTCTCGCTCCTTCACTGCTTGCTCCACCTTCGCCTCCGAGTGTTTGATCTTGTTGAGGAACATCAGGTTATCTGCCGTGATCCGAGCGACGACCTGGAACAAGCTCAGATGAGGGAGGAGAGAACGGAGAGAGTAGGAAGAGCAGGCGGGAGTTTCGAGAAGGATAAGAGTTGAGGATGAGAGAACGAGGACGGGGACGGGGATGGGGACGGGGGCGATCAAGACAAGACCTCCTTTGAGTTCTTGAGTTGAGCCATGAGGTGGTCTCGAGTCTTGATCAAGCTTGCGTTCTCCTCCCTCAAGACGTTGATCGTGTTGTTTGCATCCTTCAGCTGCAGAGAGTTCAGCAGACAGGCATGGGGAAGAGACTTCTCGTCGAAGCAACGTGTCTCTCACGCCATGGCTCACCTGGCTCTTCAAACTTGTGTTGTGGACCATGATGTTGTTAGATTCTTGGGTCTGTTTCGAGTATGACAGTTCGTTGTGGGAATTTTTCTCTGCAGTCCTGTCGGTGACCAGCAACTAGAAGGTACAAGTTCTTCACCTTCAAGGTGTGAGATCGTCCCCTCCAGGTCTTCCTTTGCTTTGCGCAAGTTGTCAACTTCCAGACTCATGCGCTGGATCTGAAAATGCGCGTCCTCCTTTGCCTGAAGGAAGATGAGGAGGATCGGAGGACTTCACTTCCCCTTACCTTGTTGAGCTCCTGGATTATCTTCTTCTGATCGTTCACCTGCTCTTCAAGCCCCTGTATCCTTCCCTCCGCCTTCGAGAGCTCTGCGAGCTGACAGCATTTCAACTTCAACATACACACACTCAGCGGGATCTGCAGACCTTTCTGTCTTTGTGTCGCAGAGCGGTCTCGATCTCATTCTTCACGTGCTTGTAGTGATGCGAAGTGTGCCGGAGTTGAGCCACTGCTCTAGACAGCTCCGACTTCACCTCCGCACTCAGAATCTGAGAGCGCCTTTGTAGCTTCCTCCTAGTCGCCTCGCTCAGCTGCGACTCCTTCGCCCTCTCCGCTGCTGCTGCCTCGAACTCCTTCCCCTCCTCAAACTTGTTCGCTGCTCCATGGACGGATGCTCGCGCTTCGTTGATCTGCTCCTCTACCTACGGTAACGTTAGGATCTTGGAAACGATCTCCATCCATCTTTTCCTCTGACCCATCTCTTTCTCCTCCTCTTCTTCCAGGGTCATTTCTCATCATTCCCGCTTCCCTTCAACTCTGCCTATGATTCCTACGTCAAACCCAAGAATAAATATCTTCGATCTTTCCTCGCTCCCTCTTTCTGTTCCGTTCTGAACTTTTCGTCATACCACTACTTCTTCATCATCCTTATTCCTCTCCTGTCCTCGTCTTCTCCTTGTCATCTCCTCATCTCTTATCCCCTCTCTCTTCCTCCTCTCTCTCTCTCCCTCTCCTCTCTCCTCCTCCGTTCTATTCACCTCCATCAGCAGCGACTCCATGGCGTCCCGCCCGTCCGCCATTCTTTCAAACTGCGAGCGCCCTCATCCCCGCTCAGACATCACCAGAATACAAATCATCCCCCTCATTCCCGGTCACCCGGCCGGGCCCGGCCCGGGTAACCCTGCGGGTGACCCGGACTCAGGCGGGAGTCCCACTGTCACTGTGAGAGTCCGGGGCCAGCCGGGGGTCAGACTCGGTCCGGTGACCAGCTCGGCCCGGGCGCCGCGGCCCGGCCGCTGAGTCTCTCAGTGACAGGCTGTTTTTTCTGTATTGACTGAAAAAGAAGGGCAAACCGGAGCAAACAAAGGAGGGGGAGGATAAAGCCTACAAACCCGCCTCAATAAAATACTAGGAAACGAAGGAGGCAGCGAAAACCGCTACTCCAACCACGCAAGCCTGAAGCGATCGGACGGCATGGGGCCGCAGTGCACGACAAGCAGGATCAGGACAAAGTGTCACAAAGAGCAGTAGCGCAAGGCTCCTGCGAGGAGGACGGCAAGACCCATACGAGAGCGATACTGCCGAAACAGGCGAGCACGCAAACGATGAAAGCCACCGGGCCCGTCCCGGGCCATACACCGCCTCCTGAGCGCAGTGGTGATCCGCCAGGTACCAGAGAAACCGCAAAGCGTCAGCATGAAGAAGACCATCCGTACCTGCAGTGAAGGGAAGAAAGGCCTTCGGCGGGTGTTTTAACTTGAAGTGACCGTGTCAGTCACGGTGGCCCACGATTCTGAGGCAGACTTTCAACGTCACGATGCTGCAACGGTCGGGTCAATCTTGAGGGCGAGATTGAGTTGCTTTTTCAGTCAATAAATAGTACAGGAGAAATGCTAAGAGAAGCATCCATGGGTAAGGAGGAAGAGGAGAGAGTTCAGGAAGGAGAGGGAGAGGAGAAAGAGGAGGACGAGGAGGACGAGGAGGATGGGTTTGTGTCCAGACATGCTCGCGCGGTGAGGGCAAAGAAACCCGACAAGCTTTACTCGGATGCTGTGAGCGAGAAATTGAAGAGTCTAGAGGAAGGAGCAGAGCTGGAAGACTACGAGTGGAAGCAGGTGATGGCGCCTCAGTCAGGTGACGTCGCTAGTGTCCTCCCCCTCGTCATCTAACGCTGACGGGTGGCAAGCAGTCGGATTTCGCATCCAAAAGATGCAGGACGCGTTTTCAAACTTGAAAGGGCACGTGATGGAAGCGAACAGAAACCCGCGAGGGAAGCTTTACAATCAAGTCAGGCGCATGATAGCTTTGACCTCTGCTGTAAAGGAGATGCAGAGTGCTTCTTCGGACATTCAAAAAGCTTTCAGAGGGTTTCAAGTGAGGATTGTGCTTGCTTTTTATTATCTTCATCTCTTCGGCTGCATTCCTGTCATTGTTGATCCTGCAATCAGGCACGGAAGAATGTGAAGCTCGACTTGGGTAAGAGAAGAGGCTCGCAGATGAACTACATCCCAGCGCTACAACCTACACTCGCTGAGCTCATCGAGAATAAATTCAATCCGCGCGAGCAGGTGCGGGAGGGAAAGGTTGCCCTGCTCCTCTGCTGATTCAGGTCGGCAGGAGATGATCCATCGACTTCTGGCTGAACTTGCATTGGAGAAGCAGGAGAAAGAAAAACAGGCGAGCGAGGGCAGCGTAGCAAAGAAAGAAGCGGCAGACGACGGCAAGAAGCCAGCAGGAACAACATGAAGCGACGTGGGAATTTGATGTTGAATATTCTTTCATGTTATCAGTCAAATTTCCAAGGAGGCCCATTAGCTAGGAAACGCTGGACCTCTTATCAATGGCTACGTCCTTGTGCTACATTCGTAATCAGGAAGCATCTAAATGTATCTTCGTAATCAGGAAGCATCTAAATGAATCTGCAGCCCTTCAGTCCGTAATGAAAGTGATGGTGGCAAATTGTCGCCGCTGTCCTACCAAGCATCCCAATCCTCTTCCACGAATAGCGTGGAACAGGAGGGAGATCAGGGAGGAGAGGCGGAGAGGAGTACGGTAGTACTCAAAAGCTGGCACTGCGGCATCCGATCGGGAGCCTGAAGGCTGGTAGGCAGCAGCGCAGGCCGGTTCGGTCCGAGCCGCCGGGAGGCGGGCACGGCCCGGGCCGGCGGCCGCGGGGGACTCGGATGGCCCGGCCTGTCACCGTCGGCGAGTCAACTGCCCTGTCACAGGCTGTGTCACTGGAAAGCCTCGGATTGTCCTCGTACTCATGGTTAACTTAACTTTGAGTAAAAGGAAAACGAGAAATTTCAGATGAGACTCTCCGATGGCTGCCCAGGCGAGGGAGGAGAGAGGGAGGGAGGGAGGGAGGAGGGAGGGAGGAAGCGAGGGAGGGAGGAAGGGAGGGAGGAAGGGAGGGAGGAAGGGAGGGAGGGAGGGAGGGAGGGAGGGAATTCCATGGAGACAGAGGGAGGAGGTAGAAGAGGGAAGGGGGGTTTGAGTCTGTGGAGGGATCAACTAAGGAGGGAATGTAACCTTGGAATCAACAAATTGAAACAGTTGTGAGGATGGTGAGAAGAAGCCATGGGGTGCAGAATGAGGGGCGTCGAAGCATCATGGGATCAGGACATCATATGAATCATCTCCTGCAGAGGACAATCGTTCTTCTGCTGATCCTCCTACCCATGGCAGCTGAACAGGTCTGAATGTTCCATCTGAATCGCTCGACTCAAAAGCTTCCTTGCAGTATTCTCGAGTACATGGACCCTGCTGCGGTAGAGCCTTGTTGTCTGTGACGAGGATGGTGGGCTTGAGGGGAGGACAAGGTCTGTCTTGGTCATGGGGAATGCGAACACGTGAGTCGAATCGCTTCCAGATGAAGTCGACCAGGGTAGGGACGAGTCGGAAGAAGAATACAGCGACCCTGCCTTGAAGGCATGCGCGGAGTTTTACAAGGTCAGAACCATTGGTTGTTTCATCTTGGCAGTGTGGACGATGTGGGTTCTCGTTTGACCGCAGCCTGCCTGTGCGCAGTCGGCATACACCAATCTGGATGACATGGTAGAGCAGAATGAAGAAATGGGAAGGTGTGTAGCTGTGCATCTAGGACATGGTAAAACAAATGTATTGACAGGTTGATGGACTTGAAGTCAAAGGAACAGATTGATCCCCAAAACATGACTGAGTTTGACTTGATAAAACTTGCGGATATGGTACGCTATGATGAAGTCGACCCAGATGCGAACCCTCTGACAAGGGAACAGGCGGATGGAATATTCGGAGAGGGCATACAAACTCCTATGCAGGCAGTGGAAGCGATCTTGGACTTTGTCCCCATGGAGAAATCAGACACGGTAACCAACAGGGGTGTCGCCTTAGACGGGACATGACAGGAGTAGTTGATCGATCTAGGTTGCGGAGACGGGAGGATCTGCATATCGGCGGTGCTCAAGTACGGAGTGAAAGCGGTACGCCAGCGTTTCCTCTCTTGACGCTCTCCGTCATGCTCGGTTGCAGATTGGTGTGGATTTGGACGCAGACACGTTGGTGCATGCACAGAAGGCAAGTGACCGGGCGCTCTGAAACACAGGGGAGGTGATGTTGTTGTAGACTGCCGAGACCCTTGATCTCTGCGAGAGGATACACTTCATGTGTGGGGATTTAGGTGAAATGGACCTCAGGTGTTTCAAGCTTGCCTGTGCGTAATATCTGAATGACCTTGCCTATAGCCAAGCTACGATCCTGTACATCTGCCTACCTCCAGATATCTATGAGCATGGAACATTCATGTACCGAAAGGTTTGCCCGCTGCCCGCAGCCCATCACGTTGAACTGAATCGCTACCAGCTTTTGAACTTCTTGACTGAGGGGAAAAAGGTGTCGAACTTGCTTCCTGTTGCAACAAGAGTCTGATAGTAACCAGATCATCACTTTCAATGGCATTATTGACTTCATCTGCCCTGCTGCTACGAAATTCTTAGACAAGGTATACAAGGATATGTGGCTGAGGAGGAGGAGGAGGGAGGGACTGACAGAAGGGGGTTACAGTACAGGCAAATTCATTTATACGATTCTACAAGTCCCAAGAGCCCCTTCTTCATCGATGATCCCCTGGTAGGATCGCGCACTGCCCTCGTTCCCTAATCCCTCTGAACGTGCACAGAAATTCGATGAGGAGGTCGAAGAGTTCGGCATTCCGGCAGCATCAAATCGAGAACAAGCCTTCGGGAGAACTTACTATGATGATGACGATGATGATTAGACGGCATACTGCTGCCAGAAGTCACCATGATGTTAATCTTGTCAGGGTGTCAGTCCTGAGGTGCAGGCGGAACGTCGTAGGAGAGACCGAACAGCTTGTCGCCCCATCGTGACAACCTCATCAACCGAGAAGAGATCGGGCCAGTAACCTTCTCCTGCACTGTCTCCTCGATCATCGCGAGCTTCGGCTCCAACGCCCCCAGCTTCTCAAGGCTGTTGAGGAACTCCTGCACGCAGAACTGCAGGATTCGGGCGCCCGGGCTATGGCAAGACTCGATGTCCTCGAGGACCTCATCGAGAGGCTTCAGGAAGCTCCTCGACTTCTCTTCGAACCTCGTCACCATGGGACTGGAGCTCTCCAGCAGATCGTCCACCATTCTCACTGTTCTTGCCAGGACTGGACGGAGTTGTTTCTCAGGCTTCCTCGGGCGGCAGACCGCAGCCTCTTCCTTCGCTCTCACTCTCATCTCCGTCTTCACGTGCTTGTCGACTTCAAGATCTCCCAGTGAAGCTTGAACAATGCAGGCTGAAAACTTCCCTGCGTACTCAGCCCTGTAAAGGGCCGAGCCCAGGGCAGCAGCAGCATCCTCCCTCCACACTTCGAGGGCATCAGCTCCCTCCAAGAGATGGTCAGGCCCGCATATCGGAGTCTCTGTGTCCCGCTGGTAGTTGGAAAGCTCCTCCTCCTCCTCCTCCTCCTCCTCCTCCTCCTCGTACGGAGACCTTGCGCTCCACATTGCTACTCGTCCTCTGCGCTGCATGCCGAGACTATTTTGCTCATTACCCCTACCCCCTATTTCCACGTACTACCCCCCTTTCAGCTACCTCCACCCCTAGAGTTTCATATTGCTCGATCTGTACCCCTCCTTTCCAATGTTTCTCCACAGGGTGTCCAGCAGGAAATTTTATCACCCCACAATGTCCATGATTCTACCCCTATTTTCCCAACTATGACCCCCTTTCTTCCATGACATCACCCACCCCTCTTTAAGTGTCACCCTCGATTTGCACTACCCCTATCTTCATACATACCCCACCCCCTTAGGAAACAATATTGTTCTGCCACCCACCCAACTTCCTTCAAATTCTTCCAAATTTGCAAGACAAACTTCTTTGCGGAAGGAAGGAATGGCGAGGAGAGGGATGAAAGAAGAGGAGGAGGAAACGGCAGCACCGAAGAGGGAGGAGGAGGAGGAGGAGGAGGA